GGACCCCCGAGAGGCACGGGGTCTGCTTGAAACGGGTCAGGGGTTCACAGTGAGGGTGTGAAGGCTTGGCCTGGGAGGAAAGTGCTTGAGCCCTGGTGTACATGGCCTCTCAGACTTTCTTGTACCTTCTGTTTCTTGGCTGTGGTGTGGGAAGGCGAAGGTTTGGACTGCAGTGTTGGGGCTCCAGGGAATAGAAGGGGGAGCCGAAGTGGCCTGGATTGTGAGGATGTCAAAGAGGCAGCTGATCAGACCTTGGAAGGAGTCTGCGAACACGGGTGGCCTGTGGGATGTACCCTTGGGGAAGCAGGCAGAAGCAGTCATGTGGAGGGTGGGGTACACATCCCTTCCCCCCCATCCTTAACAAAGGACCCTTGGTGTCCTTTCCTCTGTGGCCGGGCAAACCTGGGTTCGTGCCCCATCCCCTGAGAGTGAGGCCCACCTGGCCAGCAGTCCTACCCCAGGCACTTCACCCCACGCACGGCCTCTCCCATTGCCCTGCTGTTAGCATTGCTTGGTGTGGACGGGAGCACATCCTGGCTTGTGCTGCTGTTTCCTGTCTCTGTGTGTCTCTCTCATCTCGCCAATAGATTGGCACTTTCTAGAAAGGACTATGTCTTGCCTTTCCAATATCTCCTATATATTTGTTCATTCATTCATTCCACAAACATTCATGTGCCAGTCACTGGAGACAGGAAGGTGAACAGAAATAGACAGGGCCTCGGCACTTGGGGACCTGACGGCTTAGTAGAGGAAGTGACAGTCACCACGTAAGTGAGGGTAAAAATCTTGACTCTGGCAGCGGAGGAAACAGAGGCCAGAGACTGTTATGGAAGCTCCAATGAGGCAAGAAGTCAGGGAAGGATTCCTTGAAGAAGTGGCGCTTTTGCTGAGGTCTGAAGGGTGCATAGGTTAACCATGAAAGAGTGTGGCCAAGTGCATTCCAGACACAAGGACCAGCATATGCAAAGGTCCTGTGGCAGAAGAAGCAAGTGAGGAGCAGGGACTAAAGGCAGGTCAACCTGGCTGGGTCCCAGAGCATGGAGAGCGAGGTAGTAAAGCAGCAGAGTGAACTGAGGCAGACGAGGAGCATCCAGCCTGAACAGGCATTGCATACCACGTGAAAGCAGGTGGTCTTCATCCAGAGAACAACAGGAAGTCTCTGAAGGCTTTTAAGCTGGCAGGGACAGGAGAAATGACATGATTAGATTTGCATTTTGAAAAGATCACTCCTGCTGCTGTGCCAGGAACCACCTGGAGGCTGGCCAAAGTGGGGGTGAGGAGACCTGCTGGGAGGCCACGGTACAGGCCAGGCAGTGAAGACAGACAGCCACCGGCCACGGCGTGGATCGGTGGGGGCAGTGGCGGGGAGGCGACAGTGTCCAGGGAGCTGGGGAGTTCTTGGAGATGGATTGTTTGGTGGGGATGAGGGGGAGTGAGGATCAAGGATGATTCTGTGCTTGGACTTGTGTGACTGATGGGTGCTGGCACCCTCCACTGGGACAGGTGTGCAGGAAAGAACCGCGATGCCACTGCTCTTTACCGCGTGGTGTTCTAAGCACTTTCATGAATCATCTCCCTTGATCTCCCAACTCTGGCAGGAATCCGCCCCGTACCACTGCTTAGCGGGCGAAGAAATAAGGCTCAGAGAAACTTAGAAACAAGTCCAAGGTTGCGTCTTAATGGCAGACGGTGCCTCCTTGCCCCCAAAGCCTGTGGACTGTGCCCTGAGCCACCCCCTTCTGGGCTGGAATACGTATTTGCAAAAGGCGGGCGTGGAGGGAAAGAGAGAGCGCAGGTGCGGGCTGAAGGCCTAGAGCTTCGTTACTTCTGCTCTGACGCAGGCCCAGGAGCTAGACTTGCTTCGTTTAATGCTCACAGGTCCAAGCTGCAGGAAGCAAAGGACAGTCGAGCCCGGGAAGCTGGTGGTCGCTGCCCCAGGGCGATTCCGCTCAATGGAAGCCCATCTCCAGGCCCTGAGACTGTCCCTGACATAAGGGTGCTGTGTGCCCTTTGCATCGGGTTGATGTCATGGCTGCCTCACCCTCTCTGTCACTGGCTTTTTCAAATACCACCTGCCTAATTTCCTTTATTGGAAACCAGGAGCAAAGACCAAGCCCATAAGGAGAAAAGGCACATTATTCTCTTACAGATCTGAGATTTAATAGAGCAGCAGTTATGTATGATTTGAACTGGAGCATGTTATCTTTTTGCTGGCCTGGGTTCCCTAGCCAGAGACGCTGCAGGCTCAGGAAGGCGACTGAGAACGGACCGCGGGCTCCACCGGTGATGGCTGGTAGCCCGAAGACAGGCTTGTGCATCAGCTGGGGCAGGAGTGTCCTGCCATGCCGCCCCTGGCCCCCGACAGCGTTCCACGGGACAAGAAGCAGGGGAACGTCTGGGACATACAACCCAACCCTCTTCCTCCCCTCCAGACCGGGAATTGACCCATAGCCTTTGGCCCCGCCTCTGGAAGGCCACGGCCATGCGGCTCCTGCCCCCGGGCTGGGCAGTTCTGTGTCCCGAGGTCCACCCGACGTCCTCAGGTGGAAGACGACACAGCTGCTATGCATCTTGCCCCAGAGCACAGGTGTTCGTTCACCCGGGCAATACGTACTGAGGGCATGTGCATGCCCCTCCTTCAAGGCTCGCTTCACGTCCAGGTGTTTGCTCCTAGAACCAGTGTCATGCAGCTGATAAGCAGTGTGGCTGCGCCCCAATCCCAGCAAAGCCTCTTCTCAGGTATCAGCCACGCTCCCAGGAATGCAAACCAGCTCCCTGAAGAGCCAGGGGCACCAGCTTGGTACCCGGGTGAGGGAGGGTGTTACCCAGCTCTGCCAAGGTCTGGGGGAAGGGAGCCTCCCAAATCCCGATTGTCCCCAGCTAGCTGTGGAGCCTTGAGCAGGTTTTAATACCTCTGAGCCTCAGTTTTCTCATCTGTATAATGGAGATCATAACACGCCCCTCCCGCATACTTTGTCACCAGGGTCCCAGTGCCTGGCACATGCAATTGCTCAGGAAATGGTAGCCACTGGTCTTCTATTCTCTCCATATTCGTAGCGGCTTCATCTCACTGGGAGGGGCAGGGGGTGCTTTGAAGTGAGCTGTCATCCGGCACCATAAGCATGAGGAAAATCTCGCCTCTCTGGGAGGGCCACGCGTGTACCATTTATACAGAATGGTGGGAATTCGTAAGGAAGGCAGCCAGCTGGCTTCAGTGTTTCCTTTGGCTCTCTTTACCCCCAGCAGGAGAGGCTCGTGTTGTTTTGAGGCGCCCCGTCTGGACTTATGGGGCCCCCTGTCCTAGGGGTGTAGGGTTGAGGGTGAGTACTGGGAGAGGTGGAGGAATCGCCAGACCAGGTCAGGGATGGCAGCTCAGGACTCCTGGGAGACAGGCTGCTGGCCCCTGGTGTCACTACACCCCAGCCTGTCGCAGATCCCAAACCCAGGCCTCGTACAGAAGTAGCTGGACCCCTTCCCCCTCCAAGGGACTGTGGGCGCCCGGAGGGAGAGCAGCGCAGCAGTGAGCACCCCAGACGGCACTCACCGACCCCTCCCCAGTTGGACTGCACCACCAGAGACCCCAAGCTTAGAACCTTCATTAGAGCCCAGGAGGGGCCCCAGTTGTGGCTGAGATGGACTTCCTGCCGGCCCAGATGGACGAGAGCTTGAAGCAGATTACATTTTATAATAAATAAAAATGACGTTTCTGGTCCCCGGGCGTTGAATGGTAGCAAATGTATCCCCCCCACCGACGCATCACAGCTTTCCCTCTGCTGAGAGCCGGCTCCCGCCTCACCGCCTTGCTGGGCTCAGCCACCTGACTGGGTGGTGACGACATGCTCTGGGAAGCCAAGTCGGTGACATTTCCCTCTCTGAGGAGAGTGTGTTCCTTGCTCAGTTGGCAGCCTGCGGAAAAGGCCAAGCTACAGATCCCGCCTTCCCTGGGTGGCGGCGGGAGGCAGGAGAGAGAGCCCCCCAGCCCAGCAACGAGAGAGCCCCCCAGGCAGCTTCCTCGAGGCAGAAAGATGGATTAGCCAGTGGGACAGTCCTCTGGAGGAGGATGTGCTGCCACTGAATCATACTTGCCTGGGTTAGCTGGGGAAGGGTCTCAGCGCCGCGAAGCCCCCCTCTGCCTCCCCGCGAATTTCGCCGGGCCCTGCCCTCCCCGGCCTGTTGCTGTGCGTCTCAGAGAAGCCAAATGTGTATGTAGAAGTTACATGGTTAAGCAACACTTGGGGAAGGAAAAGCACTGCAGAAACCAGGCTCTGGCCACTTCCGTGTCTGGGAAAATGATACAGTAGCTCTAGAGTCAGACCTACCCATGACTTATGTGCTGCATGAACTTGGACAGATTTTCACACTGTTCTGAGCCCTGGGCTGCTCACCTGTGAAATGGCCTACCGCTTCCATAACAGGATTGCTGGAGTCATTCCGTGAGCAACGTGGCCTAAAGCTGTCGCTGGTGTTTCTCACCAGACCATCTTCTCATCTTGTCAGGCACGCAGGCGAGTTTTTTGTGAGGTCATATATAAGCGTATGTTTTCTCTGTTGACTAACATTGTTCCCTGCCCACATCACCAGGTATGGACACGATCTGCTAAGAACTTAAGGCCACAACATATCTGTTAGGTTTGCCTGGATCTTCTGCTGGCATCTAGTATCTGGCTTGTGTCCAGATCTCTGCTGTGGAAAATGATGCAGCTGTGAATACCAGCAAGCTTTTTTTTTCTTTCTTTCTTTCTTTTTTTTTTTTTTTAATGTGATCCTAACAGAACATAATGGGGGGTCGGGTGATTGTATATCATGACGGGCCGTGGGTGGGGACGTCCATTGGGCCCCAGAGCCAGCCACGGGTTTCAGATGCTCTGTGCCCTCTGACTCACGTACCCTGCTTCCGTCCCCTTGGAAGGTGCCAGAGGGTTCCTCGGTTCGTTTTCTCAGCCCTCAGCTGAAGGGGAGTTGGCTGAAGTGTTTACATTCCCATGTTTTCTCTCTTGTAGAAAGTGTGCACCAAGTGTGGGATCGAGGCCTCCCCCGGCCAGAAGCGGCCTCTGTGGCTGTGTAAGATCTGCAGTGAGCAGAGAGAGGTAGGATGCCCAGGGCGGCGGGTGGGGGTGGGCTGGAGCGGGCCGGGTGGGCGCACGTGCATTTGGGGAAACTCTTGGTTCATCACTGGGAGGGGCTTCCCTGCGGGCCAAGGAGGACCTACCAAGGGTGGCCAGGGAGAAGGGCAGAAGCCTTGCCCGTTCCACAGTGCGGCAGCGGCACCCCGGCCTGGGGCCTGAGGTTTCGGTGGGAAGCCACTCACACTGACTGTGGGTGCCTGTGGCATTTTGTGCGAGGCTGGTGCTCCAGGAATAGTAGTGGCCGCCCTAGGTTGAATGTGTCCTATGCACCTGACACTGTGCCGAGTTCTTTATATGTATAAGTTCGTTTCATCCTCACACAAGCCCAGAGGTGGGTGCTATTATTATCCGCTTTTGCTGATGGGGAAATGGAGACCTAGAGGTTAAGGAACTTACGGGCACGGCTGCTAGTTAGTGGGAGAGCAGGAAACCCACCACAGCCAGACCAGGATCGGGGCCGAAACAGCAGGACGTCGGCAGGGAGCCTCTCTGCCATGGGGCGGGGATTGTGGGAACAGCAGGAGCCGGGCACGAGGGGGCACACCCCAGCTTTTCCAGATGTGGATTTATTGTTTTCCTTGTTTCACTTTGCAACGGATACACACTTTTAAAAAAATTATTCATTTTTTAACTTCCATCCAAGTTAGCATGTAGTGCTACAGTGATTTCAGGAGTAGATTCCTTAATGCCTCTTACCCATTTAGCCCATCCCCCCTCCCACCAATCCCTCCAGGAACCTTCTGTTTGTTCTTTATATTTAAGAGTCCTTTATGTTTTGTTCCCCTCCCTATTTTTATATTATTTTTGCTTCCCTTCCCTTATGTTCGTGTGTTTTGTATCTTAATTTCATCATATTAGTGAAGTCTTATGAAATTTGTCTTTCTCTAATTTCGCTTAGCGTAATAACCTTTAGTTCCATCCACGTAGTTGCAAATGGCAAGATTTTGTTATTTTTGATTGCCGAGTAATAGTCCATTGTGTGTGCGTATATACACACTACATATATATCCATTCATCTGTCGATGGACATTTGGGCTCTTACCATAATTTGGCTATTGCTGAAAGTGCTGCTATAAACATTGGGGTGCATGTGCCCCTTTGAATCAACATTTCTGGGGGCACCTGGATGGCTCGGTCGGTTAAGCGTCCAGCTTCGGCTTAGGTCACGATCTCGTGGTTCGCGGGTTCGAGCCCTGCCTCGGGCTCTGAGCTGACAGCTAGCTCAGAGCCTAGAGCCTGTTTCAGATTCTGTGTCTCCCTCTCTCTCTGACCCTCACCTGCTCATGCTGTCTCTATCTCTCTCTCTCTCAGAAATAAATAAAACATAAAAAAATTTTTTTTGAATCAGCATTTCTGTATCCTATGGATAAATACCTAGTAGTGTAATTGCTGGGTCGTACAGTAACTCTATTTTTAATTTTTTTGAGGAGCCTCCATACTGCTCTCCCAAGTGGCGGCACCGGTTTGCATCCCCACCAGCAGTGCAAAGTGCTCCCCTTTCTCCGCATCCTCTCCAACATCTGTTGTTGTCTGAGTTGTTGATGTTAGCCCTTCTGACAGGTGCGAGGTGGTTTCTCATTGTGGTTCTGATTTGTAGTTCCCTGATGATGAGTGGTGTTGAACATTTTTAATGTGCTGGTTGGCCATCTGGATATTTTCTTTGGAGAAGTGTCTATTCGTGTCTTTTGCCTGTTGCCTGTTGCTTCACTGGATTATTTGTTTCCTGGGTGTGGAGTTTGACCACGATACACACTTTGAATCTACGGATCCAGAAAACGTCTTCCGTTACAGGGCATTTTCAGCCAGCACTGCTGCCCTTGCACATTGCTATCCTACTAGCCCGTGTCTTCTCTTCTGGAAACCCTGTCGGACACATTATAGAGCCTCCGTCCATCCTCCAGTGGCTCCCAACTGCCCTTTCCTGTTTCTTTCCTGATCTTTCGGGGATATTTCCTGGGTAGAATGTTTAGTACCACCTTCCAGTCACTAAATCTTTGAGACTGTCTCTCAACTGTTGCTTTTGTGAGTTGTCTTCCGTAGTGGCAGCTTTCCCCGGGTGTTTTGGAATTTGGGTTTGTACGCTCGTCTTGAGTGGGAGTCCGTTTCTCCCCCTGCCCACCACCTCCGCCCAGCTCTCCTTGCCAAGGGATTTTGTTTCCTCCACCCACGTCCTGGGTCCCCCCAGCGCAGTGCGGAGCCAGGTGTCCTGGGGTAGTGACGGGCCGTGTGTCCCCAGTGAGGACGGGGATGACTGTGCCCAGAGCTGATCGTTACTGCCGTGGGCAGCGAGGCCGGGCTCTGGCTGTGTGGGTGCTGCTTCCGCCCTGCCTCGTATTCATATTCTTAGTCTGGGGCGAGGGGACAGTCTACTTTTTTCAGCCTCCTTCCCCAAGCGGGAAGTCCCTTCACCAATCCCACCTTCAGTGACTCTGGCTCTGGTGCCCCACCTCTCATGGGGCGCTTTTAGTCCCCGTACCCTGGAAGGCTAAGCTCCCGGCTGCCTCCACCTGCTTCTGGACCCAGAGTTCAGCGGGCCGTGCCTTCAGCCCCTGAAAACAGTAACTGTTTGGAGTGTCTGATCCATTGAGGTATATATATCTGATATATGTATATATCAGAAACTCCAAATATATATACATAAATGTGTAAATATGTGTATATACACACATATATGTCTTTTTAAAACATTTTTAAAACTTTTTTAAATATTTATTTTTGAGAGAGAGAGAATGAGTGGGGAAGGAACAGAGAGAGAGGGAGACACAGAATCCAAGGCAGGCTCCAGGCTCCAAGCTGTCAGTACAGAGGCTGACACGGGGCTTGAACTCATGAACTGCGAGTTCATGACCTGGGCTGAAGTCAGACGCTTGACGCTTAACGCTTAACTGACTGAGCCACCCAGACGCCCCTAAAAATTTTGTAATATTTATTTTTGAGAGAGAGAGAGATAGCATGAGTTGGGGAGGAGCAGAAAGAGAGAGGGACAGAGGATCTGAAGCAGGCTCTGTGCTGACAGATGTGAGCCCAGTGTGGGTACTCATGAACCATGAGATCACTACCTGAGCCGAAGTTGGACGCTTAACCGACTGAGCCACCCAGGCACCCCGATATATATGTATCTTCTTTTCAAACACAGATAAGTTTGCTTTTTGTTTGTAGAACATTTTCATCTTTCACTCCTGTGTTTTGGAACAGGGAAGGTACTCAAAATAGGAGCTAACATTCTGTCTTGTCTGGAGGTCCCTGCTTTCTCACCCTGAAATGGAGATGGTGACACCTATTTCCTAGAGGTGCTGTGGGAATTTAGCAAGGTTATTAAAGTATACAAAGTGCACAAGATGTCTGGCTTAGAATAGGTACTTTGTCATAATGAGAGGCCTCTCTCTCACCCAGCCAGAAATTCTCACTTTGAACCTGAGGTCCTTCCGGTGTCTTGGTGGGGGGCGGGTGGGGGGGGATCCCTTTTAAGATGCAGGTATCCACTGCTGAGAGCCAGAGAGAGAGGAGAGAGAGGAAATTCCTTCCAAGGGGGGCTGGTGGCAGGTACTTAGCAGGATGAAATGGTGGTCACAGAGGAGCTGTGGGAGACGGGGAGGAAGGAGCTGTCAGGCAGAAGGAGGTGGAAGACGAATTTAGCAAACCTAATGATTTAGCGGGGCGCTCCGCTCCGGAGGCAGCTGCCCCGTCCCGCCCCCCGCAGGTTGCCCTCACACTCCCCAGCCCTCCTGAGCTGCCACGTGCAGGGCCTACCGCAGGCCCGTCCTAATCTCCAGAGCGCGCTGGTGCCCAGGAAAGCCTGAAATAGCTTAGGATGAATTTTCTTATCTCTCCTAAGGCAAAGAATATAAGGCTGTGCATTATGCTATCAGTTTGTCCTTGAATTTCTAGAGGCCGATACAACTTAGTGAGAGGAGGACACATTCCTGGGATGCCTGGGTGGCTCAGTCGGTTAAGCGTCCAACCTCAGCTCGGGTCATGAGCTTGTGGTGGTTCGTGGGTTCGAGCCCCACCCTGGGCTCTGTGCTGACAGCTCAGAGCCTGGAGCCCGCTTTGGATTCTGTGTCTCCCTCTCTATTTGTCCCTCCCCGGCTCGCACTCTGTCTCTCTGACTCCCTCTCAAAAATAAATAAAAACATTAAAAAAAAAATGTCCACATTCCCTCTGTGCAGCACCAGGCCCACTGTGGACATTTAGGAGGTGTAGACGGCCGTGAAAGGGCACGTGTGGACGTGTCTGAGTACCTGTGTGGACCATACCCAGGTGCTGCATTTTCCTGCCTGTTTTGGGGTGTGAGAGTGACAGGGTAATTGGTTTCCTCATGCCTTTTTGTCTTAGAAAAATGATCTAATCACAACAAAGAGATAGCTAAATAGAAAGAGCATTTAAAATGTCATTTTAAGTGTCACAGAGAGCTGGTTCAGAGTCTGCGAGAAAATTTGGAGTCCTGTCCTGCAGCAAAGCCACATCCCGATGGAAGCCCTTGAATTTCATGATGGAAACTTTTACGCCGCTGTGCCCAAACACTCCTCTCCTTCTTCCCTTTTGACACTTGCCTTCTATCCTCTCTGGCGGTAATGTAAGGATTTTCTCTGGAGTGCGTGAAACGCGGGTTCTGTGTCCCTGGGGCCCTCAGGCTGGTGCCGCCGCCTGGTTTGTGAACTTCAGCCCTTCGTCTAATGCATCTCTTCACCCGAGCATTCAGCACATACCTTCTCATGGGACAGGGAGGCCACAAACACAGCAAAGTAAATTCTGCCACGTCACGGATGGTGAAAACGTGCTGAGGGTGAAGGGGAGGGGGCTGGGACTTTGGGGGTAGCTGCCATTTCATATGGGGGTCAGGGAAGGGCTCACTGATGAAAGGACACTTGAGTGGAGGTCTGCGGCACACCATGTGGCCATGTGGTTGGACCGCATGCCACGTCGAGGGTACAGTGAGTGCCAAGGTTTGAGGAACTGCA